CCCCCCCCATTCTCTCCCTCTATCTGACACTCAGCGGGGCCGCTCTCCATCTCTCCGTGAGCCTGCAGGCAAACATATGCTGCTCTTCCCGTCAGATTCCGGTGTGTTTGAGAGAGGAGGGATTGTTTAATGTTTATTAATCACCTGTCTGTGGTGGAGAGAGGAGACGGTGATAGAGACACACACACACACACACACACACACACACACACACACACACACACACACACACACACACACACACACTCTGGTACACATGCTGTCTCCCTCTCTCTCACACACACACGTTCAGCTGTGATGTTACCAACTTGGCCTGGTTTTTGCATTTACAGCCGTATATAAGTATGCTCATTTACTGTTACACTAAAGTCAAAATGTATCTCTTTCAGCAGCTATTTTTTAGCAAATCATTTAAACTGATGTCCCCAAACATATCATCATGTAAACACAAGCAGTGCGAGGAAGTATTTATATCATATCTCACATTCAAATTAAAGTATATGAGCATAACAACAACAAAAATGTACTTAGAAGAAAATAAATCCAATGGAGAACAATGCCTCCTGTTACTGTCATTATATCATTATTAGATATGGATTACAAATTAAGAATAATTAGAGTCAAAAGCAGTAACATTTATGAAGCTAGAGGCATGAAATAATTCTGCTTCAAAAATCTTATGAACAATCAAAAAAATTGCAATTAATTTTCTCTCAGTGTGAACAAATCTTAAATGTTACTTAAAAATAAAGCTGGTTAATAAAATGAGGAGTAAAAATTATAATATGTAGTTCTGAATGTAGTGGTGTAAGCCTTAAAGGTCAAATACAAGCACCTAAAATGTGTAATAAGTACAGTACTAGATATAGTAGATATACTTTCCACAACTGCCTTCCAAACTAATTTCAGTAACAAATGTATTTTTTTTTAAAGCACTGTCAGCACATCTACTCCAATGCAGCCTGTGGCTTTAGCATTGAGGAGTTGTTTCACATCAGGAATGTGATGCCTGACAGAGGTAACAGAGACTGTGCAGTGTCAATAATCATAGTGCTGACAGTGTGCAGGAAATCAACGCTTTCATTTAAATGTTATCATGTTCTTATCCAGCAGATGTGAATAACATGCTTTTTAGCTACTTAGACATTTAAGATTTGGTGTATTTGTATAAAATTGCACCCGGATAATGAGCTATAATTATGTATAGCTCAATTACTGACCCATCAGCATGTGACTTGAGTGACTGTCAATCTTGATAGTTACTTTAACTGTTAGTAGAAATTGGTGAGGAAAAGTGTCAAATTGTGTAACCAAAAACTGTTTTGAAAAGACCAGAATGATCTTTCTTTCTTTTCAGAAGATGATATCTGGGGCATTATTTGAAAGAGAAGGGGAAAGAGAGAAAGAAAGAAAGTTTGTTTTCTGGGGAGTGTAGAACTTATTAGAACAACTGAGCGAACTGCATCTGCTGATGAAGACTGCGAGGTGTGATTCATATCCCCATGAAAAGCAGACCACTTGGATTGATCTGTATCTTCTGCTTGTTGGCCTATTCAAAATTCAGTGTTGACAGAATGGATATCTGATGATGTCTTTGGCACATAATAATTCACTTTGGTTCATATTTCATAATTCAGTGTATTGGTGGTGAAATAACCAGAGGCTGCGGAAATAACAGCACATACAATATTTCATCTTGGATTTGCTTTGAACCCTGCTCAGGCGAATCAGTATCAGAACACCTGTACCACTTAAGCTGAAGCATTAGTTCTGCATCTGATGCCAACTCTGTGCAGGTTGTTTACCGACTGCTTCAGAGGTTTGATAAAGCTCTATTTCAGGTCATATTTTAGAGATGATTCAATTAACTACATGGATATATAGATTTCAATAATATCAGGGTTTCATGTTAACAAATACCTTGTTTTAATAGATATCATCCATTTCTTAAACTATATCACATAGCTTGTACATTGAATTTCCCCTGCAGGGATAAATAAAGTAGGCCTTCCTTTTGCTTGAAACTAATAAATATCTTTGGTTTTACTTTAACAATTAATACCATGTAGTTTGTTCATTTGCAGAACACATTTTTATCATAAATCTACTTTTCCCTTTTTTAAGTAACATCATATGTGCATGTTTGTTTTATTATACGTGTACAAGCACAAGCTGTGTACATTGCACACGCACACTCACTGAGAACAAGTGCAAAAGTACACAGCCAGGAGGCTGTTCTCTTTCCATGTGCAGATGAGTAGACTAGAGAGCAACGAGAAAGCACCACAGGGACAAAGAGCTTGTATCTCAACTGTGTGTCACTTTTTATTGGAACAGAAAGAGCAAGGAGGTCAACGGTACAAAAAAAAAAGGAAAGAAACGAGGGCGTGAGGGTCGGTTGTTAAGCAGTGAGCGGTCACTTGGCGCCAGAGGAGAGCTTCTCCAGGTCATGGATGCCCTCCTTGTCAATCAAACGGACAGTGAAGGAGGGAAGGTTCATGATGAAGCGCTTCCTCAGCTGGGGGAGGGGGGGGAACACACGAGAAATATTAAGATGAGGCACGAAT